TCCTGTGCTCTTTGTCTCTGCTTGCCTGTTTATTCTTCCTGTTTTACTCAGTTACATTCTTTGGCATCACTATGCACTAAATACATGGTTGTTCGCAGTTACAGCCTTTTGTGTGGAACTCTGCTTAAAAGTAATTGTTTCTCTCACTGTGTATACGTTATTCATGATTGATGGCTACTATAATGTCCTTTGGGAAAAGCTTGATGATTATGTCTACTATGTTCGTTCAACAGGCAATATAATTGAATTTATATTTGGAGTAGTAATGTTTGGAAATGGGGCTTACACTATGATGTTTGAGTCAGGAAGTAAAATTCGGGCTTGTATGATGTGTCTACATGCATATTTTAACATCTACTTACAAGCAAAAAATGGCTGGAAGACATTCATGAACCGTAGGACTGCTGTTAAGAAAATTAATTCACTTCCTGAAATAAAAGGGAGCCGCTTACAAGAAATAGATGATGTATGTGCAATCTGCTATCATGAGTTTACAACATCTGCTCGCATCACACCATGTAATCATTACTTCCATGCACTTTGCCTTCGGAAATGGCTGTACATCCAAGATACTTGTCCAATGTGCCATCAGAAAGTGTACATCGAAGATGATATTAAGGATAATTCAAATATATCTAACAACAATGGATTTATTGCACCCAATGAAAATCCAGAGGAAGCTGTAAGAGAAGCTGCTGCTGAATCTGACAGGGAATTGAACGAAGATGACAGTACAGATTGTGATGATGATGTTCAAAGAGAAAGAAATGGAGTGATTCAGCACACAGGCCCAGCAGCTGAAGAACTTAATGATGATACTGATTAAAATAGCATTTACTAATCATTGAGGTTATTTGTTTAAAACTCAGTTCATCCAAAATGGAGTAATATGCTTCACTTCAGTGTGTAACCAAGCACAAAAACAGTATCCATGTTGAATCTGTGAATGGTTTTCCGTTTACTGTGATGTGCTACTGTAAATATACCTCTTTAATTACTTCTGGTCTCTTTGGTGACCTATTTAAATTTGTGTACATTATTGTACATAGAATAAAATGTTTTCACGTTTTTATGACAAAATTTGAACAAACAGCTTTTTAATAGATGTAATGATATAATACAGTGCGTCAACTGTGCCAAAGATTCCTCAATGAAAGCATATAAAAGTATCTAACTCTGGACCCTAGTTTTTCTTTAAAATGGGTGGGAAAATGAATTAGGAAACCACATTAAGTCAAGGAAATAATTTGGACCAGAGGATAAAAGCTATACATGTAGAGTATTTTAAAACGAAGGAGAAAATAGGCTGCCAGAAGAGACTTTTTTGAAATCTGAGTGTAGCACGTGGCTGAGCTAGGTTCAAGAGTCATGATTCAGAGACTGTGTAAGAGTTGAGAAACAGGCTTTTATCAACTAAACTTTGGTATAAAAACCAGAATGTGCTAATTGTTTAATTTTGATGTAAATAAAACCAGTATATTTGTTGGCCATTCTGTTTGCAGTGTTGACATAAAATTGTCCTTTCAGACTTTTGAAGCGATTACAAAATATTTGGGAATTTTCATTGTTGTAAACTAAGACCTCAATTGATACTAAAATTCTGATCTGACTTGATGGATAAAAATGGGGGTATAGTATGTAGTAATATGGAATAACTCTTAAGACAACTTCCAGAGAATTCCTTTATTCAATCTTTCAGTAGGTTTTACCATGAAATTTTACATAAATGATGGGAAATGGAAAGAACATACCATCAGGAAAAAAATATTTTAATGGTGTTGTTATATAGTGTATTGGCTAATTCCAATGGATCCTGCTCTCTCACTGCTGACATTATCTCCAGTATTTGACTAAAAGAAAACAAAATGGTTCAATTTCCAGGTATATGCTCAGTTTTAAAGATACTAGTTTCCACATAAACTATTGTACTAGCACTCTTAACATAATAAGCTTAACAGGTATAAGGTTTTCAGCACCATCAACAGAAAAGTTTAACTGTTATATTTAAAATAGAGTAATCTGAGACAAACTTCTGGGGCAGTCTTGCATATAACTAGAGCCAAGGTCCAGGTTCAAATAAATTCGAAAACCAGCCCATATTATGTCAACCACAACTAATGGAACTAACCCAGTGAAAATGAAGAGTTCCTTTAAACTGTGGTCATTATGCATTCATTAGTGGGTCATAATGAGCTTTCAAAAAATAGACAAGGAAAAGTACATCACAGTAAGGGAAGTACTGTTTCATTTCTGTTTGGGTTTTATATATGTACATGTGTGCTGAGTCACAAGGTATTGTGGCATTGTGGGTATAGCAAAGTTTGAAAGCCACTGCTAAGAGAATTAGTCCCAGAAGCAGCAAGAATTTGGTGCATCATGACCAGCACAATGTCAGCAAAGGAAGTTAGAAGTTATTTACTTGGAACAATGTATTGTTATCGCGGTGGGGGGGGAGGAGAGATGCTTTCTCTTCCTGCACTTAACTCCCTGCAAGAGCGAGACTAGCCCAGGTGTCAAATCTTTCAGTCTGTGCCTAGAATAATAATCAGTAGTACTGTTCTCCAGCAGTACTATATATAGATGTTTTTATACATGAATTAGAAAGTTCTAAAGTCCAAATTAAACATTCAAATATCCGTTAAGATTTTCGTCCCTGGTATGGGTTTCTTAAATATGAACACCTAAAGGAATTAGAGATTAACTGGAATTTTTTAATTATATAATCGTAACGCAGCAGCCACACTTAATATAGACTAAATTTTTATCTGAGTAAGTCAAAATGTGCTAAAAGCAAATATATTAGCATTTAAATTGACAGTAAAGACCCAATTTTCTTATTAGTAGACTACAGAATTTTCCTCTTATCTACTCAGTTGGAACTTACCTGCATAATACTGTGTGAAATCAGTATGGTTCCTGCCACCCGTCTCCCTTTCAGTCCTTTCTCTATGCTGATACGCTACAGCTTTAAAAAAAAAAAAAAAAAAGAACCGCCCCTTTCCTGCTTAAAATCCTTTGAGTCCTGATGAAATCTGAACTACTAAATTGGCATATGAGAGCCCTCACCAATCTGGTCTCACTGTACCTTCCTAGGCTTATCACTTACCGTGCATCCTACTTTTTGCCACACTAAACTCACTGTTTTCCCTAGAGCAGCCACGCCCTTCTGCAGTCCGCCTTTGCTTGAGGTGTTTGTCTTGGTCTGGCACAACACCCAGCTGTACCCCGTGAACAGCTGAAGTGTCACCTTAGCTGAGCTATTTCTCCTCAAGGAAGGCAGCTGCTATGTCCTAGGGTCCTCATCATATACTTATACCTCTGTAACAGCACTAACATCTTGGACTATACTTTCTACTTATTTGCTCCAGGAGGGTTAAGGATCCCTGTCTGATTCCTTCAATGTCTTATCCAAAGTGCCTGGCAGAATGTACCTAGTCATCTGGTGGATGGATGCAGGGCAGGGATTGTCCTGATTGTTCTAGGTAGCCTCAGTAACTTGTACCTTTCCTGACATGCAGGAGCTTCAAAATGTGTTTCAAGGAATTTAAAATCTAAAAGGGAGGCAAGATCTCTATAAAAATAATTAAAACATAAAAAAATTGTTAATAGATGGGTTTGATAAAAATGACTTTGTAAGTAGGAATTAATTAGTAATTAGCATTAGACTAGAGGCATGTGTGTTTTTGAAATGTGGTTTAAAAATTTTCAGTTTGTAAATGCTGGCTTTCCCAAGCTCCGCCTCCTCAACTGGTATTCATGATTGCTGATGAAACTCAAGCTTTCTTGGTTCTTAACAGTCTGCATTTGGAAGACCTTAGAATTTTGTTTTTCAAATGTGTCTCTAAAGTCAACAGCAATATTGTACTTAACATTAAGGCAGTATATAAAACTGATGTGGATACACTGTTGGCAAATACTTCCCCTGAGCTGGTTACTAGAAAAATACCAGTTTCTTGTCTCTAGTGTCCTATTAAATCTTTATAAAGAATGATTCAGTAATAATTGTCTTCTGTCTTCTGACTGAATTTGCAACTACCTACATTTCATAAAAGTTACAAGTGATTCTTTACTAATCAGAATTTAAATACATTCCTCAGCCTATGGGTTTTAAAACATTCGGTTTTAAAATCTCTGCCAACACGAGCATGTTAATAAAGGAAAATCTTTCCAGTATAATTTTTATAGAATAAATCTGCAGTTCTCTGCCTGCTGAATTTTAGATCCGGCTTACCTAATACTCTTATCTGTTAAAAACTAAAAAAGTACATATGGAAGGAATTACTACAACCTAAAAGTAACAGTTCAGTTGCCTGAACTGGTAAACCATACTAGACTGATATAATCTATATTTAAATTATCTGCTTATGCAAACAAAAACTGGATGATGTGCCCATTAACATGATACAAACTTATCTTGTAAGTTATAAGCTCTATAGCTGCTTAACAGTTGGATGGTAAACAGCCCCTCTTTTCACATGCTATGTATTATAATCAAAAAATGATGCTGAATTACTGCTTGGTCCCCCTCCCCCACCTTTTGGGTTAGAAAAAGGAAATCCTTTCATAACTTGACCTTTTTGTTCAGAGGCTTCAAGAAATGTGTTACTACTTAGGTTTATTCAGGTTGTCAAATAATTTAAAATACACAAAAAGGTCTCCTGCTAAGAGTGTATTTTTTATAACCATCAGCAAGGAGGCTGCATGAGAATCTTTTTTTCCCTTTCCTACAAAATGACAAATGACCAAAATCACATGAAGTTTTCACTCCTGTAATTAAACCACTTTTAATGAGTTGAGAGGTTGAGATGATGGGAAAAGAGGAGCCTAGATAGAGCAGTTCAGGTGCAGAGCCTTCCAAATCCCTGCATTAAAATGGTAGCTTTTGATGTGAACTTCATTTGGATGTCACCCAACTTTAATTCGGTCCCTTGAGTTCATTTTGTAAATGGCATTTGGTGTTGACTTTAATGTTCTGAAGACCATGAAAACAAAATACTTACATTATATGGCAGGGCTCATTCCTGTCTTTTACACAGTGCCCATTTTCCCACTTCTTTTTGGTAGGAAATGAAGTTTTTATGTATTTTGATCCAGCATGTGTACTTTTCACTCCACACCAAGGTGCGTCTAGAGTTAAGCAAAGATAGTAGTCTCTTATGAGGTTTATCTTTGAAATCACTGTTTTCTTAATTAACGTTATCAAACAAATACATAACTTCTAAAATGTAAGTCATGATTCACCTTTAAAAATGGTAAAACAACAATTCTAAGCACAAGATTAAACCTTGAACTGTACAAATTTTAAAATGCCTTTTAAAAAAATTTTAAGTGCTTTTTAAGACTCACTTTCATTACATTTTTTTCTGCTAACATTACTGTTGGTGTATGGCATACTTTAAAAAAAGAAAGCTAAAAGAAATACAAATTGTAACCTGAAAACATTTAAGTTAAGCCTCTCTTTGCCTCTACTGAATGTGAAACAGTGGCTTTAAATACTGGCATTGGGGCATCGGGGTGGCTCAGTTGGTCATGATCCTGGGGTCTTGGGATCCAGCCCCACATCAGGCTCCCTGCTCAGCGGGGGAGTCTGCTTCTCCCTCTCCCTCTGCTCCTCCTCTCCGCTTATGTTCTCTAACTAAATCTTTTTTTAAAAAAATACTGGGATTATTCACTTACCTCTTTCTTTCATAAAGAATTATAAGAATTCACACATTTTACAAGCATTGTACTTTTTTTTTTAATTTACCATATTAACCATTTTCTTTTTTTTTTTTTTTTTTTAAGATTTTTCATTTATTTGACAGAAGAGCACAGCAGAGGGAATGGCAGAGGGAGAGGGAGAAGCAGGCTCTGCACTGAGCAGGGAGCCCGATGCAGGACTCGATCCCAGGACCCTGGGATCATGACCTGAGCCCAAGGCAGACGCTTAACCATCTGAGCCACCCAGGCGCCCTGCACTGTACTTTTAATAAGATCATTTCATTTTCATGACTCTCCAAGAAAATAAACCTGATTTCTTCAGAATGGCTTAGTCTTGACTTTCCTAAAAAAGTCCCTATGTATAAGTAAAGCCTTGAGTTCAGGGTTAGGTAAAATGTTTAGCTTCTAAGCTTATTATAAGAGGCAACAGATTAATTTCTAAAATTCCTTGACTAAACCAGTTTGATTTAAATTCTTGTACCTTATTTGAAAAGTATTGTAGGGTGCCTGGGTGGCTCAGTTGGTTAAGCGACTGCCTTCGGCTCAGGTCATAATCCTGGAGTCCCGGGATCGAGTCCCACATCGGGCTCCCTGCTCAGCGGGGAGTCTGCCTCTCCCTCTGACCTTCTTCCCTCTCGTGCTCTCTCTCTACCATTCTCTCTCTCAATAAATAAAAATCTTAAAAAAAAAAAAGTATTGTAGAATTAAGCCATTACAATTTTACAAAAAAAATTCTGAAGTTTTTGAAACCCCAAGTGAGATAACTTCATTAAGACTACTTGTTTAATAAAATATTTATAATTACAACCCCCTTAGTTAAATATCCTAATATTCTTTTTTTAAGTGCTTAGGCTTAATCAGACTTCTAAAACTGAAAAACTTGATTGCATAAATACTTTTCTGTCAATTGATAAAAAACCCAAAGGTTTTCTGAAAAGTATAATTGCTGAAGCTATGAGTGAGCTGTTTTAAAATTTTTTTTGTCTGGCTCTTTTTTGGTATGGTTTAATATGAAAATCAAAGTTCTAAAAGCATAAACTTACCAGTTTCAATCATTAGTTTTTCACTAGGTATTGACTTCAGAACTTCCAAATTAGCCTCAGTTTTCAGTGAGCTTAAAAAAAATTTATAGATATATTTAACCAACTTTTTTTCATATTACAAACTTATCTAAAACAGCTTACAAAACCTAAAGTCCCCAAACAAAACTTTGGTTGGCTAAAAGGGCAATATACACATTTCTATCCTTACAGAATCGATATTAGGATCTATTCTAACCACACTCTAGCAGGATGCAATTTTTTGTGTTTATCAGCTGACTGTCCAGTAACTTTCTGAATCAGTCTGTGTAAAACAACTTTTTCAAGAATTCATTTGTTTCCCTGGGTAATTTGCATAACTTAGGCTCAAAATGCTGAGTTTGAAGGTATGGCCAGTTCTGTTATGGGCCAAATACTACTCTGAAGGAATCGAAGTTAATGTTTCACTAATCAGCAATACAGTCTTCACAAAGGATGAAAATCACAATCCTAGAACTAGGAGTATTTAACAAGGAGATGTCCTTTTCCCCACATCTGGAAACAGGATCTTCCATTACTCTTGACATTCTGAAGCTTAATGTGTCTGGGCAAGAAACTTTTTTCTTTCATTTAGGGGAGTTAGAACCCTTCCAATTTAGATTCCTCCCCCCAACTCAGAAAAATTATGGGGTAAAGGAATTTTCCCCTTTTGTTTTCTCTCTCTTTCTGGGACTTGTATTAGTTTTACAACTCCTGAATTGGTCTGCTATGGCCCTGTTTCTTTTATCCTTTCCTGGGAAATTAACTTTCATTTCCTTAACTTTCATTTTCAGACCCTGAGACAGACTGGATTATTGGTCCCAATTCTTCACTTTCCTTTAATAGAAATGTATCTGCACCCTTGCGATGGTTCTTAGTAGGAAGGAGGAGGAGTTGAATCTGGCCATGGCCTCAAGACTTGCTTTGACCAGATGACATGGCCAGAGGCTTGAAAATGCACTTTTTTTTTAAATTGATGGCACTTTTGTGATCTGAAAGTAGCTTGCACTAAATAGCCATTACCTCTTCAGCCTGGGCACCCAGAATGAAAACCCAGCTCAGATCTGAATTCAACATGTGCCTGTGGCAGAGAGATCTGCCTCTATCAGTCAACCCTCAGCTGATCCTAAGACCCAGGAGTATGAAAAAATACTGTAATATGCCAGTGAGTTTTAGGATGGTTTGTTATATAATGTGACGATGATTAATACTGTCCTTATGTTATATTTTTAATTTTAGCATATACTTAACTTTTTATTATGGAGAGATTAAAATATATGTAAAACTAGAATACAGAACCCCCATGTATTTATTACCCAGCCCCGATCTATTATCAACTCCTGGCTGATACTGTGCCATCCACTCATCCCAAACCTCTCCAGTATTATCTTGAAGGAAATTGAAAATGTTGCATAGTTTCAGCATTCTAGCATTTATTTCAGAAAATATTTTAGCATCTGTCTCCAAGCATGAAGTTTTTTTTTTTAATGTAACCACAATACTATTAATCATGCCTAAGGTTTTCCCAAGTCTTTTATCATAATATATCCAGTATTCAATCTGTCTCAATGTCCTACATTCTTAAGTTTGTCTGACTGAGGATCCAAATGAGGGCCACACTGCAACTGGTCAGTGTTCTAAATCTCTTAACCTATTAAGTTTTCCTGCATCTCTTTTTCCCTTTAAAATTTGTTAAAGAAACCCAGTTGTTTGCCCTGAAGAGTTTCCCAGTCTTGATTTCATCTGTGTTCATCTGGATTTGTGTCTCTGGGCTCTGTATTCTGTTCCACTGATCTAGATGTCTGTTTAGTAGGTTCCTAATGTATGTTTTTTTTAGTAGAAGTATCGTGGACATATTATATTAGTTGTAGGTGTAAACCATAGAGATTTGACATTTGTTTACATCACCAAATACTGTAAGTGTAACCATCTGTCACCATACAAACTTATTAGAATATTATTGACTATCTTCTCTATATTGTGCTTTGCATCCACATGACTAATTTGTAACTGGAATTTGTACCTCAGTACCCTTAAAACAGCCACCAGTTCTCCATATTTTTGAGTTAAATGTTTTTTGTTTGCTCACTTATTTAAGTAGGCTCCACACTGGATGTACTTTATTTGAAAAGTATTGTAGAATTAAGCTATTACAAAGATGACACTGTGTAAAAAAAAAAAAAAAATTCTCAAGTTTTTGAAACCCCAAGGTGAGATACATTAAGACTGCTTGTTTAGTAAAATATTTATAATTACATCTCCTTAGTTACCACATACTCTGACATCCCAATTTTAAGTACTTAGGCTTAATCAACTTCTAAAATTGAAAAATGTGACTGCATAAATACTTGTGCCAGTACCACATAGTTTTGATTACTATAGCTTTGTAGGACAGTTTGAAATCTAGGATTGTGATTAACTGCACCTTTGTTCTTTTTCAAGATTACTTTGGATCTTCAGGGTGTTCTATGGTTCCGTGCACATTTTAGAATTTTAGTTCTGTGAAAAATACTATTGGTGTTTTGATAGGGATTGCACTGAATCTGTGGATTGCTTTGGGTTGAGTGGACATTTTAACAATATTAATTCTTCCAATCCATGAGCATGGTGTATCTTTACATTTATCTGTTTCATTCATCAGTGTCTTACAGTTTTCAGAGTATAGGTCTTTAACTTCTTTGGTTAAATTTATTCCTAGGTATTTTTTTCCTTTTTGACACAATTGTCAGTGGGACTGTTTTCTTAATTTCTCTTTCGGCTAGCTCATTTTAGTGTATAGAGACCCAACTGATTTTTGTATATTAACTTTCTATCCTGCAACTTTACTGAATTCATTTATTCTAATGGTTTTATGGTGGAGTCCTTAGGGCTTTTTCTAAAAATACTACGTCACCTGCAAATAGTGACAGTTTTACTTCTTCCTTGCCAATCTGGATGCCTTTTCTTTTTCTTGTCTGATTGCTGTGGTTATGACTTCCAGTACTGTGTTGAATATGAGTGGCTAGAGTGGACATCCTTATATTGTTCCTAATCTCAAGAGGAAAAGCTTTCAACTTTTCACCACTGATTATGATGTGGGTTTGTCATATATGACATATATGGTCTTTATTATATTGAGGTATGTTCCCTCTGTACCCACTTTGTTGAGAGTTTCTATCATGAGTGGATTTGTTGAATTTTGTCAAATGCTTTTTCTGCATCTATTGAGATCATATGATTTTTGTCCTTCATTTTGTTAATGTGCTGTTCAGTTGGCAGACATAACCATTCTTGCATGCCTGGAACAAATCCCACATGGTCGTGGTGAATGATCCTTTTAATTGAATTCAATTTGCTGATATTTTGTTGAGGAATGCTTTGTCATGTTTATCAGGGATATTTGCTTGTAATTTTCTATTTTGTAGTGCCTTTGGTTTTGGTTACCAGGGTAATGCTGGTTTCATAGAATGAATTTGGAAGCATTCCTTCCTCTTCAATTTTTTGGAATAGTTTGGGAAGAAGAGGTATTAACACTTATTTAAATGTTTGGTAGGATTCACCTGTAAAGCCATCTGCTTCCAGACTTTTGTTTTTTAGGAGTTTTTATCACCAGTTCAATTTCATTACTAGTGATCAGTCTGTTCAGATTTTGTTTCTTCCTAACTCGTTCTTGGAAGATTATATTTTTCTAGGAATTTATCCATTTCTTCTAGGTTGTCTGATTTGTTGGTGTATAATTTTTCAAAGTAGTCTCATAATCCACTGTATTTTGTGGTGTTGGCTGTTTCTTCCCCTTCATTTCTGATTTTGAGTCTTTTGTTTAAAAGTCTGGCTATATAGGTTTATCTATTTTGCTTATTTTTTCAAAGAACCAGCTCTAGTTTCATTGACTGTTTTTTCTCTCTTTTTAAGTCTATTTCATTTATTTCTGTTCTGATCTTTATTCTCTCTTATCTTCTAATTTTCGACTTCATTTCTTCTCCTTTTTCTAGTTTCTTTAGGTATAACGTTAGATTGAGACTTTTGTTTTCTTGAGATAGGCCTGTATTCCTCCAGACTTCCCTTTTAGAACTGCTTTTGCTGCATCCTAAATATTTTGAACTGTTGTGTTTTCATTCGTCTCAAGGTATTTTTTGATTTCCTCAATCTACTGTTCAGTGGCATGTTCTTTAGCCTCCATGTGTTTTTTTTTTTTTCAACGTTTTTCCTGTAATAGATTTTTTTTAAGAATTTTTTTTTTAAGTAATCTCTATATCCATTGTAACTCACAATCCTGAGATCAAGTTGCATCTTCTACCAACTAAGCCAGCCAGGCACCCCTCTGTGATTGATTTCTACTTTCATACTGTTGTTTTTTTTTCATACTGTTGTAATCAGAAAAGATGCTTGACAGGATTTCAGTCTTCTTAAGTTTATGGAGACTTGTTTTGTGGCCTCACATGTGAACTATCATGGATAACGTTCCATGTACACTTGAATGTGTATTCTATGTTTGGATGGAGTGTTCTGTATATCTATTAAGTGTATTTGGTCTAATACTTCATTCAAAGCCACTGTTTCCTTATTGAGCTTCTGTTTGAATGATCTATCCATTGATGTAAGTGGGGTGTTAAAGTCCTGTACTATAATTGTATTACTATCAATTTCCCCCCTTTTGTCTGTTAATGAATTGCTTTATGTATTTTGATGCTATGTTGGGTGCAGATATTTACAACTGTTATTTCCTCTTGTTGGATCCCTTTATCATTGTGCAGTGCCCTTGTCTCTTATAGTTTACTTCAAAACAAAGACTATCATTTCAGTATTGCTACTGCAGCTTTTTGTTGTTGCTGCTGCTTAATATCATTTTCCTCACACTTTCAGTCTGCATGTGTCTTTAGGTCTGAAGTGAATCATAGGCACCGTATAGAAGGGTTTTTTGTTTGTTTTTTGTTTTTTAAATCCAGTCACCCCATGCTTTTTGATTGGAGTATTTGATCCATTTATGTTTAAGGTAATTATTGGTAGGTATGTGCTTATTACCATTTTGTTAATTGTTTCCTGGTTGCTTCTGTAGTTCTTTCTTCTCTTGTTTTCT